CTTTTCTTTCTAGCAATTATATATGCTTCAGACATCATTGGATTTTCATCATCCTCTTCTTCAGAAACACCTTTTCCTTTATCTTTTCCTGATCCCGAAGCTTCATTATCCTTCTAACCAATCTCATTCTTTAACTTTTCTTCCTCGTCTCCCCCTTGTTTTGCAGAAGCCCTGCTTCCCGAAACACCCTGTAGTTGATTCATCATTACAAATCTTGTCGGACAGAGATAGTAAATAAAGAATCGTGAGATTCAATGATTCCCAACAAGTATTGATTGATTTTAGAAGTGCACCCTTTAACCAGAGATCTCTCTTCTTCGAGTTTGGAAATATTGGTTGAAGAATTCTTCAAATTTTCAAAAAGAACCTTTATCTTCTGCATCTGTTCTGCCCATGCATCCATAATCTTGTTTTCAGTAGCCAAGTCATTTTGTAACTTGGTGAGCTTTTTAGAAATTGATAAATTAAGCTCAACATTTTAAAGCTTAATGTTAGCACGAAGGGTTGAGCGAGCTTGTTTTTCATCGCTCAAAGAAGATCGGAAGCCTTCAATGACCTTGTTCATGTTAGTTGTATTCTTATCAGAAGAAGTCCTGAAGTCAGCCATGAAATCCCAGACTTCTTTTTGTAATTGTTGAACCTTTTCTGTAGCTTCGGATATCCTCTTTTCAGAAGTTTGAGCAGCTTTACTTGATTTTTCAATGACTTTCGAATTTGAAGATGTGAGCATTTCCATAGTTTTCGATGAGTTGTAAGCAAATTTTCCGATTTTGAAGAAGATAAGGCTTGTGAATACTCCAAGATGGAATCAAGCTTCTTATTCAACTTCTTGAATTGGAATTTTGTCATAGACGCTTCATCATCATCACTGGAAATATGTACACAGAAGGGTGAAAGACAAAATATGCATTCGGTTCTTGATCATCTTCAAATAATATCTCATTATCATCATTAACTAGAGGAACCGAAGACAAAGTATGTTCGGAAGTCACACCAATGGTAGCATTTAGCCCTACATCGGATGTGTTGCCAATGATGCCTGAAGTCTTAGTCTCCTCCGAAATAGATTTGACATTTAGAACTTTTGGTGGAGTGGATATTGTAGATGTTGTGGGTGGGGTTAAGTCTGAAAAGATAGGCGAGGATAGTGGGACGGAGATCTGAGGAAGAGATATTCCAACAGAACTCGTTGGTGGTAGAGGAGGGATGGATGTTATCGGAATTTTTTAGGTGATTGGTGAGGTTTTTATTTTTGATGTTGGTGGAGTGAATGGAGGTGGATGTGGAGAAGTGGTGAGATTCAGAAAGGGATTCTGCATTATTTTGTTAAAAACCTTTGGTTCCAGAATGGAAGAAGTTGGAGGAGAAGATACCTTCAGAATATTTTTTGTAGGGGTGGGTTCAGAAGTTGCAACTATATCTTCCTCTTCATTTATGAGAGTGTTGTCCTCCTGAACTTCAGTGACAATTCTCTCTTCGAATTCCTCTTGAATAATCGAACATGGAGATTTCGGTTTCTAAACTGGGTTCTTTTCCCTATTCGTAACTTTTACGCTTTCTGAAGTAGCACCTTTCGCTTTCCTTTTCCCTCCCCTCGTAGGTATATAACCTTCATCTATGATCTTTTGTAATTCCGCTGGGATGGGACAAACACTAGAAGAGAGCATTTTCCGATAAGCCCTAAGAATGGCGTTCTCCAACGTTAAAGTCTCTTGGATCCGACATGACAAATGTAGTTGTTTGGAGTGTCGAAATTTCAACCATCAGAGAGTCTTGCATCAAGGGAACTTCAAAGTGAGTTAGGGATCGGTTTACAACAATAGACTAGAACTTGGCACAGGAAATCTCCGCGTGTCGTGTTGAAGAACTGGTGCCCTGAACAAATTGAGCCCATATCATAGATCCATAGTCTAGGTTAATTCCATGGTAGAGACCATAGATTAAAGCATAGAAATGCTTACTAGCACTATCGGATCACATAATTGTTTCTGATAAGATTTTGAACAAAAAGGTAAATAATCCATTCCACATCAGCGGCAAGGACTTTCTAAACTTGGAGAGAAAGGAGATTTCACCGGTGTACCCCATCTGGTAGAACATTTCGATAATATAGGTTACAGGAATCGATATTGAATTCTGATGTAATAAGACCTAGAAGTTTGTAGAAGTGGGGATTTGAGATCAATGTTTTCTGGTTAGAAACTTCAAAGTTGATTACATCTTTTGCTTTGTTGTAGAGAGTAGTCGAGAAAGTTTTAGATAGATGAACAAGTGGAACTTCTTCAACCATTGTTAATTCCTTTATCAGTGGTGAAAACTTGAGACATTCAATCATAGGCTTGATTGAGGCGGTGTAGCAAGAAGCGTTGAGGTCGATTATCATGTTTTGCTTAGGTTTAACTGTGAGCATGATGACTGACGCAGACAGATTGGCAAAGGAAACATTCTCTGATGAACCGGCCACTGATGCTTTGAGAGTGATGATGAACATTATAGAGTAAGAGTAATTTTTCTTTGAAAATCTGAGAGTTGTGTTTACGGTGAAGGTAAATGAACCATTTGAAAGCCTTTTATATGGAAGATGATGAGTGGAGAGAGAGAGAATATGTCATTTCATGTTCCTGTAGTGTCGAAAACTAGCCAAGAATTAAGTGTCATGTCATCATTCATGAGTCAGCAGCCATTGTAACAGACATGTTGATTTTAGGGAAATTCAAAAGTCGCACCATTATTTGAATATCCATTTATGGGTACAAGAGCGATTCAGAATCTCCACTTTCGGAGTCACTAAACAATCCTCCAGTTTTGCAGAAGCAGAAACAGTATCTATCCGAATTAAGACCAAAATAAGATCTTCTGAATTAAAGTGACCAATCAAAATAATAACCATGCAATGTAAAATCATAAGGATTTTAGTGCAAGAGTGTGTCAAAGAAAAAGAAATAAAGCAAATTTAATGTGTGTGATTCTGTAATATCAAACATTTTGGTATGAAAAGCTGGTGGATCCCGATCAACGATCTCTTCCTTCTAAGTCAAGAGAGACTTTGAAGTGCTTGTGTGGTTTCCCGTTGAATGACGATCATCAGTTTGTTAAGAAACTATGAAAGGCTTCTTGTATAAGGCTTAAAGGGTGGTTTCAGTTTCTAACAAATTTTGAAAATTAATATAAGTACGAAGATCTGAAAGAAGTACTTGTTTGACCAATATATCCATAAAAACAAGTAAGCTTTGGGTAATCTTTTAAAGTAGTTGGTTATATTGAAGAATCTTAATTCCGAAATAAAAAATAAAAAAATAAAAACCTGGATCGATTGGGAAGAAATGTCTTAGGTCGAGAGCATTTCGTTAAGATCACAAGAAAAATGAGATTTTGAACATTCACTGGTACAAACCAAAAGGTTTTATCCATCAATTCATTTAGTAAAAATCTAGAACAAAATATTGTTCATCGTCAATTCAGAAAAAATATTCACATTTTTCTGTTTCACTCAAAATCATGGTGATTATGATTTCAAGATCATGAACACAAATGTTTTATAACCTAAACCTCAGTGGTAAAACCTAAGAGTCTTAAGGGTTATGATGCAAAATAATAGATTGGCAGTAGAGTGGTTAAGAGTTTTACGAAAATCATGCTGACAATGATTTTGCGATCACTAACTAGAGTTTTTGTAGCCCTTTATCCAAACTGGTTTTGTTCCAATAATCAAGGGACTACATGGAAGTTGAGATAAGAAAATATTTTTGATGTTTTTAGTTTTTGAAAAGAAAATACCGAAAAAAAAAAGAAAATATTTTTGATGTTTTTAGTTTTTGAAAAGAAAATACCGAAACAAATAAAATATTTTTGGAATTTTGGTTTTATGAAAATAACGAAAAAGAAGAAATGTTCAGAAGTAAATAAAAGAACAAAAGACTTACAAAGAGAAAAGGTTCTGAAATCCTAATGATCAATAACTTCAGAACCATTCCGAAGATCGGAACATGTCGAAAGTGAACATTGAGTTTCGAATCATTATGAAGCTCGGAACTATTCGAAATGTGAACAGTAACTCTAGCGATTAAGAAATGGATTTTGAAACTGAGTCTGCTTCAATCATTCCCAAATCCTGTAGACTTCGATTAAATGATGCCTCTAGTAATGCCTTCGTGAATAGATTAGTCAATTGATCTGAAGAACGAATAAAGTGAACTTCTACATTCCCATCTTCAACGTGATCCTTAATAACATGGTATCTCAGTGCTATATGCTTTGTCTTGGAATGTTGTATTGGATTGTCTCAGATTCTTATAGCACTTTTGTATTCATAATACAGAGGAATTCGCTTCATACTAATTCCATAGTCTTTTAGCTGGTTCTCAATCCAAACCACTTGGGATGTGCACGATGCTGCTACAATGTATTCTACTTTAGTTGTGGATAAGGATAATACACAGGTTTGCATCTTGGATTGCCAGCTGACAAGCTTGCCATCCAGAAATTGACATCCACTTGATGTGCTTTTCCGATCAAGACTACAACCTCCTAAGTCAGCATCGGAGTATGCTTGCACAAAGAATCCAAAATTCGATGGATACCATAATCCAAGAGAAGTAGTTCGCTTCATATACCGATTTATGTTCTTAACAACCAACATGTGAGGATCTCGAGAATTCGCTTGAAACGTAGCACAGTAAGACACATCAAACATTAGATCTGGACGATTGGATGTTAGATATAACGGAGATCTAATCATCTGACGAAACAAGCTGATATCCATTGTTAGTTTATCACAGTTAAGCCAATGAAAAAGTTAATTTTACCCATAGAACTCATCTCAAAATTTTTTTCCATTAATTTTCGGAATTCACAGTTAAGTTAGAGGTGGAAATGGGTCATACTGGGTTGGGTTCGGGTTCAACCCATTTAATAATTGGGTTGAAAATTTTAACCCAACCCAACCTGTTTATTTAAATGGGTTGATATTTTCCAACCCAACCCAACATTTTACATAAATGGGTTGTCACCGGCTTGACCTGTTTATCTAGTTCCCGGCCCAACCTATTAAATACTTGGGTTAACCCATTTAAAATCAATTAAATATATTATATATTTAAATATTATACCACTTAAATTATAAAACATAAATAAAACTTCATAATTATGACAAAACCACAATCATAATTCATAAACACAAATAAATTGTTCAAATAATATTAAAAATGTTTAGTTTTACAGTGATTTTGGAGAGTGACCAATATAATCGGCGCTAAAAAAAGGATGGAAATTAGGATTGAAAATTATTAAACATAGATAATAATAATGCAACATTATAATTTACAAATTAATAATTTTATTAATACATGATAATATTCAAATAATTATATATATATATATATATATATATATATATATATATATATATATATATATATATAGGATATAGATCCGGTAAGAAATTTTTTTTGGTAGGAAGGTAAGAAGTTTTTTTTCTATATATTTTTTTGACGAACAAAATAAATGAATCACTAGATAATTCATTTGTAAGATGATTCACAAGAAAAAATTCCCAAAAAAACATCTTTATGATTCATTTTTAAGTAAATTAAGAAAAAATTGATTTTTATGACAATTTTAGTGAATAACAACAAAATTATTGTATAAATGAATCATCGAGATGTTTTTTTGAGAATTTTTTCTCGTGAATCATCTAATGATTCATTTTGTTTGTTCGCGAAAAAAATATGTAGAAAAAAAACTTCTTACCTTCCTACCAAAAATTTCCTTCTTATTTGATCTTGACTCTCTCTCTCTCTCTCTATATATATATATATATATATATATATATATATATATATATATATATATATATAAAAGTTAAATGGGTTAATTTTTGCTAGATCTAAGTTAAGTTGGGATTAGCTGATCTGAAAATAATGTCATCAACATAAATCTGAACTATCATTAAATGGTTACCCTCCTTCTTTTGAAATACGGTAGGATTAATAGTACCTTGTTTGGATTTAGACTGTTTATGGAAACGAGTCAGAGTTTCATACCATGACCTCGAAGCTTGTTTATGACCATATACTGCTTTGTCTAGAATGTAACAATGATTCAAAAAATTTCATTCACAAAACCTGGAGGTTGTTCAAAATATATTGTTTATTCATGCTCTCCTTTCAGAAATGCACACTTCACATCCATTTGATAAAATTCAAAGTTTTTTTGAGGAGCATAAGCGAGAAATATGCAAACTGATTCAATTCTAGCCACACGTGTGAATGTCTCTTCGTAATCGATTCCTTTTTCTTGACAATAACCTTTAACTCTTCTGAGCACCCATTTCATACCAACCAAGGATGCATCTGCTGGAGTAGGAACCAATCTCCACACTATGTATCGTTTATATTTATTAAGTTCTTGTATCACTTGAACCCAATCTGCGTGATTAAGAGTAATTTTAATAGTTTTAGGTTCGATTTTTGAAATAAAAGAATTAGACACGCAAATTCCCAATTTAGCAAATAATATAGTTTGCTTTGCTTTTTTGTTGAGCACGAGTAAGAACTCGTGTAGAAGAATCTACGATCACTTGAGACCGTGAATGATCTTTTGTCCATTTTGTCATTGGTGTATAATTCTGATCATAGTCGGATCAGTTTTAGCAACAATTTCTTCAAAT